AAATATGACTTGCACTTAATTATTATCAGTTTTTTTAATTTTTAAGAAGTTTTTAATTTCACAAAATAATTGTAGAATACTAAAAAAGATCTATATGTTCTTATCACATCTTGGGAACATAAGTCTTAGGATGGAATTGTAAAGCTGATCTTTTTTTCGAGGCTCTCGTCTACCTCAATATGGGAAATGTTAAGTGTTTATTATTTATTAAATTTAACTTTTTTTAGATCAATAATATGGATATGATATCAGTTTAAACATAGATTAAACTTGAATTAGAATGGCTTAATTAGAAGAAATTCTACTTATAAATCAGCTCTGTCTATTTACGTTGCTAAAAGATGACAAAAGAAAAACAATGCATAAAAAGTGGCAGTTTGTTGCTTATATGAATGTATTAAAAATATTTGATTTCTTTATAACATAAACTTAAATAACTATTTCTTTTACATGATGAATATGATTTTAATAAAACCTGTTTTTACAGTTTGTTTTAATTGGTATGTTTTACACAAAATTTTTTTTTGAAATATTATATATTTGATATAACAGTTATATGATTATATGTTTGGTTTTTTTTATTACTTTGAAAATATTATCAAGAGCACAAACATTATAACATTTTAGAACTCATTATGTTAATGTTCTGAATGTTCGTAGTGTTTAAAACTTTAATACAAGTATTAAAGTTGAAAATTCTTTTGTTTTCCTAATATTAATAAAGGAAATTTAGAAAAACTACTAGAAAAATTTTCTTTCTTACAATTATTATTGATCTGTTGTTTAAATTATTAATGTAATATGTATAAAACTCTACCATACAATCATTTTTAAATGTAGGTTTTTTTTTTAAAATGTTTTTTCAATAATCTTAAATCTAATAATAAATCAGTTTTTAAAAATTTGTGAGACATGAGTTTTGTTAAATTCATCTGTGCTTTTTCTTGATATATTTGAAAAATTGATGAAACATAAAACTTGTGTTCTGATTTTTTTTTTCTTAAAAATCATATAATTGATGAAACCTAGATTTTATATCTTGGTTAAGCAATAACTTTGTGTTACTTCAAATCAAATAAGCCAGTGGTTTCCAAACTTTCTGTACTCCTGTCCTCTCTTTCTCAGAAAAAAATTGTTGTGTCTCCCTCAATTTTGGTAACAATCTAATTTCATAAATACTGTCCTTATAATTTATTTAATGGTCTACAAAACAATATACCTTATTAAATAAAGTATATTGTTTGCTGGGGCTTGACTCTTGTTGATACGTTTTGGTAAGAGTGTGGATGGATTTTTAGCATTCATACCTGAGTCGTTTGGATGAGGGTTGTGAGTTATGCATAACCGTTTTGCTGATTCATTTTTATTATATCAATTTGACTTTTTTCTGTTTGTTTGTATTAAAAAATGATAATTTGGCAAAAGCTGTCCCCCTTGCAATAGTCTTTTGCCCACAGATTGGAAAATACTGAAATAAGCTATTTGTTTTGTACTTCTCACCTACTATTTTGTAACTGACTAAAATAATAATTAATATTGATATTAACAAATGTACAGAGAGAATGAAATGAATAGATTAAAACCATAAGCACAACCATGTTCCTAGTTGTACATTTGCAAATAAGCTTGCTGATTTTGATCTTTTGTAAACCATAATAAGAAATATATTGTATTAAGAATTGGATCTTTTGTTTTTTATATATTCATTATAATATGAATACACTTCTATGCATTCTAGAACTATTTTAAGATAAACATTGACACTGTTTAAACTTCTACCACCCGACACTCTAACAGACCACAGTGTGCCTGAATATTCAAAACTGAAATATTTCAAGTACTGTTTGTTTATTTTAACTATTCATAAGATGAATAGTTAAAATAAACAAACAGTACTTGAAATATATCAGTTTTGAATAAATGAAAAACAGAAGTCTTATTTTCTTACATTTTTTAATTTAAATATTTCCATATTTGGAATTGATTGAATCTATTTTCACGTTTTTCGTAATGTCAGATTTGTTTATAAAAATCCATTAACATAAAAAATATTTGTAAATATTTCTTTAAGTTGCTTTTGGAAAATTTAAAATTATTCAAGAAGTATTATTGTGACTAAACATTCATATTATTTCTGTTGTTTATATTATTTGTTGATTTAACTTGATAGATATTAGCAAAATGTTTGAGAGAAATGTTTTGGTTTCAGAATTTGGGTTGAGAATCCATTCTATGTGAAGTAGAAACTTTTTTAAGAATTTGAAAAAAATGATTTTATTATATTAAATTTAAATTGTAATTGTTAGTATATTTTTTTATTAGTAACATGCTAATATATTATGTATGTATAGCCATACATTTCATTAATCTCTGTAGTTTGTGTATATGATTTTATATTAAAAATGATATTACTAAAATAAAAAAAAGCCAGCTAAACTGCTATATTTATTAGAAGTAATCATAATTATTAATTATAAAATATTGTATATCTGTGTAATGTAATATAATCTATTTAACATCCAGAATACAAATTTTACATTTTTCTTAATATAAACATAACGACATCAGTAGGTGGTGGTGATGATATAATCTTCTACTNAACACAATACAAAATGCACTATGCTTTAATTTTGCTTGAAAGATATTCACTTAGTTTGGTGTAAAACTGAACGAGAGGACACTAGGTGTCAAGAAATCTTTTGAATTACCTGTTTTGAGTGAATATATAGCTGAATGTGATGGAGGTAATACTTGTTTGAAAGGAGAAAACATAATTTACAACATATCTTAAAAAATGTCACTTTATAAAAGGACTGCCAATTATGTGCAGTATGTGCAGTGGGATTACAAAAATGTGCAATACTAATAGCAGCAAGTGATAAGTTTGTAGCGATATGGCTCTCGAAAAGTGAAACCATGTAGGAATGAGAAATAGACTCTCTCAGTTCCGGGACAGACAATCTCAGCCTCACAGATATCTGATATTGACTTTTATTGTGGTTTAATGTTCTCATTTTAAACTGCATTTATGCATTAGCTCTTTGGCTCATTTTTGGTACGAGTACAATGTATATACTGTATATATTATGTAACTTATACTGTATATATATATATATGTTTGTGTATGTATTTGAAGAAAGTATATTTGATATATATATTTAANGCATAAATTTTTAAAACACAATGCAAAATGCAGTTACTATGCTTTAATTTAGCTTGAAAGATATTCACTTAGTTTGGTGTAAAACTGAACGAGAGGACAGTAGGTGTCAAGAAGTCTTTTGAATTATCTGTTTTGAGTGGGTGTATAGTTGAATGTGATGGAGGTGATACTTGTTTGAAAGGAGAAAACATAATTCACAACATATCTTAAAAAATGTTACTTTATAAAAGGACTGCCAATTATGTGCAGTGGTATTACAAAAATGTGTAATACTAATAGCAGCAAGTGATAAGTTTGTAATGATATGGCTCTCGAAAAGTAAAACCATGTATGAATGAGAAATAGAATCTCTCAGTTCTGGGACAATCTCATCCTGACAGATATCTGGTATTGACTTTTATTGTGGTTTGATGTTCTCATTTTAAACTGCACTTATGCATTAGCTCTTTGGCTCATTTTTGGTGTGAGTACAAAGTATATACTGTATATATATATATATATATATATGTTTGTGTATGTATTTGAAGAAAATATATTTGATATATATATTTAAATATGCTTTCTTTAGCATAAATGGGCGAGAAGACAATGATCAAAGTTTCCATACAGAGAAATTAATTACACTCAGCGATTTAAAAATCATTGAAATAGGAATAAAAAACTTTATCATTGCTCCATTTTCTTTTTCTCTTTCAAACAAAAGGGAACATTTCACAGCACCAAATGACAATGCTAGCGACGTGAAAAAGTGAGAAATGTCATAATCTGAAGTCATCACACTTGTTCTCTTGTTAACATATTTCACTGGAAATTTCACTTGTTTGCATCTATGTGATGACAAAACATTTTTAAACTCAGTGCAGACTGTACATTTCCTTTTAGTATGCCATGTCATGTTTTACTTGTACCACCATATTTCATGTACTTTTTCACTTAGTAAATAATTATAACAGTTAAACAATTTGTAATTTTTAAATGATTTCTTTCTATAATAGTAGGTTCTATCCACAAAGTAATCATAAAAACTGAGCTATTTTGTGATATCGCTGCTAAAGAGATTGTGTAATTCAAAGTCTAAGAGATCAGGTCACTCCAGGTCAAATTGCTTAAGCTTTCCTTTACATCCAGCTGTAGTCTCATCATCCAAAGTAAAATAACAGCCTATAATTATTAATTTTGTTATAACTGTTTTGGTTTTTAAAATATTAAGATGATTTCAATGTGTGAAATGAGCAAGGTACAAACATAACAGAACCATACATGCACATAGTTATCCAGAAGTGACAGAGGTTCCACTGCTCCCATGATGCTTTGTGCTTTGTTGCTTTACATAGGTGAGTAAATATCTGAGTCTTGGGGAGAAGTTTGATTAGGTCTTTTTCAAGGGCAGGAAACATGTAATATTATTTCATATTTATTATAATTTTATTGTATTTCTCAAATAGTTAAAAGTAATCATTAGTTTATATACTTTGTTTTTAAAAGTTTTCAAACATAAGCTGTCAATCAGTTTGATTCAAAAGCACATATAGTCAGTTAGAATTATCAAAAAGTGATAGAGAAGATGGGAGTGAAAATCCTGAAAAGAGCTTTATCAAATTAAATATTTTGACTCCTTTAATGCTTTTCAGTTTCACTTTCTAAAGTAATATTTTGTTATTGATGAATAGTACAGTTCTGATATATATGGAATATTTACACATTTTACAGAAACTTATTTTATTTGACTTATTTTTTTAAACTTTATACTGTTTAATTATTATTTAAGTATATTTTGTCTTAAAATAGTAATATATTGTTAGTAAACTAAAAAGGATTTCCATTCTTATTTCTGTAGTTAGAAGTAGACATTGAAACAGAACCTTGTACATCTAATAAAGTTCTGTTCCTGGAGAAAGTTCGTCAATCAAATGCTGCTTGCCAAAATGGAGATTTTTCTTCAGCCATCAAACTTTATACTGAAGCAATTGCATTGGATCCAACTAATCATATATTGTATAGTAATCGTTCTGCAGCATACATTAAACTTGCAAAACATGGCCGTGCTTTACAAGATGCCATTAAAGCTAGAGAACTCAATCCAAAATGGCCAAAGGTATTATATATTTTTAATAAATTTTATTATTTATGTTAGTTTTTAGTTTTAGATTACAGTTGACCCCCCATAACACGGTAGATACGTTCCAGTTTTTATGAATCCATTTTCTAGGAGTCCAATCACAGCTCGGCATGTATGCAGTTTATGGACTACGGCTGTTTGAAAGGTTTCTTCCATAAAATTAATTGATTCTAGACTAATTTGACTCAACATTTCCAAAATATGTATAATTTTTTGGGAATAATCCATATAAACTATGCTATAAACAAAAAATTGTAGGATTACTTACCAAATGTGCACTGTTCAACTATGCCATTGCGTAAGCTTGTTTTTGTCGTGGAGCTTGTCATCGAATGGTGCTCGCGTGCTTCCTGATAAATTATTTTTTTTTTGCGAAAAATTCGCTGAACTTTGGAGACATCACTAATATAAATATAAATTCCTACAAAATTAAAGCCACACGGTCGTTTACAAAAAAACATAAACAAGAAGTTGAAAGCTATACAGCTCTGTTAAATCTGTTACAAAATGATCTGAGATATTGGACAATTTATTTTATTCTGATGAAGTTTATTTTCATCTTCACAGTGCAAACAGATTTGTCACTATTTAACAGTTCTGAATCTCTATGAGCTTTGTAAGTGGCCTTTGCATGGTCAAAAGTTAACAAAGTCTGGTCTGCTTTGTCAGCTTGCATAATTGGATTTTATTTTTTTTTAAAGATTATAATGGGAATATAGTGACAGTGAATACTGATTGCTAAGCAGACATGATAAACAACTTTGTTCTAAATTATACCTAATTGAAAGAATTTAAGGTTCCAGCAAGATTGGGCTATGGTACACACAGTTAAGATGGTGCATGGCTGCTGTACATAACTTATTTGAAAGGCACATCATTTCATGATTTGGAGATGTAAATTAACCATTCTTCTCCTGTTCTCCTGATATTTCCCTTAGAAAATATTGTGTATACTAGAAAACAACCACATTGAACGACCTTAAATAATACATAATGCAAGAGATTGGAAACATCCCAAGTGGGATATGTTACAGTGAGTATTACTGAGCTTCCAAAATTGATTATAGGAGTATGTGCAGTGTAATGGAGACAATTTGAAAATGAAAGATTTCAATTTAATAAGTTTGTAAAATTGAATTTAAAAGTGTTTAAAAATATTTAATTTTGTTTAAACTTATAATTTTTAATAATATAATTTTGATCAATAAAATGCAAATATTAACAAATTAAAAGAAATTATTAAATAATTAAATTAATTGATTAATATATTAAATTAATAGGCCTATTATCGACAAGGTGTTGCACTTCAGTGTCTTGGTAGACATGCTGATGCTTTGGCTGCATTTGCCTCTGGACTCGCACAAGATTCAAAATCTCTCCAGTTACTTGCTGGATTAGTAGAAGCTGCTATGAAATCACCATTACGTGGTATATATATTTTTAATTAAAGATAATTTAAACTTATTTTAATTTAAAATTATTTTTTAGTTGTATTATATTGTATTTGTAATTTTTTCCATGTAAAGTTTACATTATTTAGGTTTCTATAAAGTTTGCATAAAAACACAAACTATAGATATTTATTATAAATGAATACTTCCAATATAAATTAATGTTATTTGCATATATTGTTCTTACTCTTATATATGTCATAATACTATACAAATTTTTGACAAATAACAAAATAGTATTTTTGAAAAAATATTACAGATATACTTTGCAATTTGAGAATGTGTTCAGATTCAAACTCTGATACTCTTCATTCCAAAATTGATGGCTAAGAAATTTGAATGTACAATAGTAAAGATGAGTCTGTTACAAGAGATACATATTTAAGAGAAAATTGAATGTGCTTTTTAAATTATTTTGTTTTAATTCAAAATTAATCAAAAATAATTTCTTTAAGTATTTTAAAATAATGTTTATACATTTTGAAAATATTACTATGCATTTTGTTATAAAATTTTCAAATGAACATATTTTCAATTCCTATTTGGATAACATGCATAATTTAGCCATAAACTTTGAATTGACTGTATAAATTATAAATAATATAAATTTTAATAAACATAAATAAAAACAATTTAGTTTTAGGTCTTGTTTCATAAAAAAAGTATTTATAATATGACACAATTGATGTATCGTAAAAACATTTTAAAACTTTTAGATCATATTTAATATTGATTTATTTAATGTTAATTGTCTTATTACTTCTTCCATGCTTTATAAATTTAAATTTTTTATTTTTTCTTTATATATTACTTATTATTAATATTATTATTATTAACTTAATTTGTATAATTAGATATAATTGTTTTGTCCTTTTTAGTTATACTGTCATTTTATTTTTTCAAATTTTAATAAAAAATATAAAGGCACTTTTTATACTAATAAGATGTTATTTTTAACATTTTAGTATGAAATTTAGATAACTCATTTTAAATTATTAATTAATTTAAAGGAATTAAATTTCTTGACTAAAAATAAGTACTTTTATGTGTATATTAAGTTATATAATATATTCATAAAATTGAAATTTTTTCTAGCTACACTTGAACCAACTTATTGTCAGTTACAAACAATGCGTCTTGATAAATCTCCTTTTGTAATTACATCTGTAATTGGACAAGAATTACTAGCATCTGGCCATCATGCTGCAGCTGTAGTTGTACTTGAATCAGCATTACGTATTGGAACATGCAGCTTAAAATTACGTGGTTCTGTTTTTTCAGCCTTAAGTTCAGCATATTGGGCTTTAAGCAGTTTAGAAAGAGCAATTGCTTACATGCAACAAGACCTTGCAGTGGCAAAATCACTAGGTAACAATATTTTATT